TAATAATAATAATAATAATAATAATAATAATAATAATAATAATAATAATAATAATAATAGAACAGTAATAATAATAACGATAATAAAAATAAAAAATAATAATATAACAATGGTAATTTATCTCACTGCAGTCTTCACTTGGAACAGTTTAAGGAACAGTCAGATTCTGTTGAAAACTGTTCTATTCTATTATTTTGGGCTCAAAAAGCCTCTGTTCTATTCAAAACTGTTTCTTCCTCATTTGCGAACTGTTCTATTGTATTCCTTGGAATAGAACAGGAATAGAATAGTTTAACTGGAATAGAGACATCACTAGTCTGACCCATGCCCATCGACCCATCCGAAAAACAAATAATATTTATTTCTGATTGAACAGCATCTTATGATTCGGAGATGTCTCATATATATATCTTACGATGAATTAACTTCAATCCTCTCATCATCGTTTTCTCTGAGTATTCATTCATTTATTGTGATTAAAATAAGGTGATTATTCATCATATTATTTTCACATGTACATACATAGTTGTCTTCTCTAGTATGAAGTACCTTCGTAACGAACGCTTGTGAGCACTGCTAGCTATTGCGGTTAGTCATATTCTTATAAATGTTCACTTGTAATAGTGTTGAATGGAAAAGTGTCGTAGATATGAGCGTAAGATCACGCTTAGCCTGAGCTCAGCATAATGCAGTTTTAGCATTTAGCACTTTTATGCTATGAAAGAAGTGTGAATGTGCGATAAAGAAAGAGAAGTGAATAGGTCTTATTTGTACGTGAATTTAAGTAATCAAGGTATTTAGGATGTAGACGTAGTGGATACAACATTACCATCTTGTATACGTTCATTCATTGCAACCGGATTAAACGTGATCGTTACCGTTGTCGTTATCCTTTATGCTACACCAGCATTTTCAACCGTTATTCCACTATTATCTTTCGTCTACTATATGGTTTTGGTATGCTTATTTGTTATTATTATTATTATTATTATTATTATTATTGCAATTACTATTATTATTCTAATCAATCATTATTACTCAGTATTATTATTATCATTATTTTTTATTTAGAAGAAAAATGAATATATGTCATTTGGGACTGATTAAGAAGTAAATCCCGGAATAAATTCTTTTTCTTACTTTTCTGTCTGTCATGTAATTTTATTCATATATTTTATCCTCATAGCGTTTATTATCTACATTCTGCCATCGTTCCTTCTATTAAATTCGTTATGTTTTTGCGCTGTTTTGATGTGTGTCGAAATTCTTTTTATTTGATATTCTGATCGAATTCATATCGAAATTTGTTTTTTTTTTGGTGATTTCGTTAGCTTAAAATTCTAAGTCTGAATCTTCTTTATTCCAAAGGCATTTCTCTTATCAATATCTTTGTCTATATCTCTACAAAGCATCATCAGTCAGCCCAAATTTCAATTATAATACGAACCAATTGAACCACTCTTCTAGCGGAAGGAAGCAACTAAACGAAAAACAAAATGATATTCCAATTTTTTGCAGGCGTTCCCTAGTTTGTACTGATTGTGAGCTTAGTTTATCACTTTGCAGAATTCTTTGATAAAGATTTGACAATTAAGTCATTAATAATAAGTGAGTTAGTAACAACACCATATTCTATTGTTTAAGAAACTCTAAAGGATGTGAGTTTTGGAGGCGTTTAGTTCTTCGGAAGGTCGAATCTTTCGAAAGAAACGAGAGATCTATAATGTATCCATATTGAAATTAAAGGCTGATATTGATTCACTTTGTTCCATCCATTCATCCGCTGATTGCAATTTGATCCCTACTTGATAACATTGACCTTAAAAATAACTGTATGCTGCATGTAATCTACCTGTGGATTGATTGCTCGTTGTGTTATTGTTGTTGTAAATCAAGGTTTCTCAATGTGCGGGAAAACAATGGACACATTAAGAGAACAAACGGTTTTTTTTTTGACGTAGAAGATTGATTAAAAAAAATATCGCAGCATTTTTTCCCATTTTGAAGGCGATGTCTTAACATTTCTCTTCATAGAACGCGAAGAAAACGAACAAAAGAGGTTATCTGATAATGAGAGGAGTGAATTGGCAGAGAAAGTTTGAGATGCATTGTTATTAATGATGTTACGTTATTTATAGCATGTTATATTTTAATGTATGCTGTCGATTAGTTGCAGAATTCTTCTTGAGCATGTTGTTATGTTGTTTACAATCGGATTATTCCATGGCATCGTTGAACGATCAGCTGGTTGTCGGTCTTCGTTCTTGATTTAGAGGTGGCTACTTCCCTAAACAGCTGGCTTATACGTCTATCTCATCGGTGCTTTTCCAAATTCTTAAGCATTTGGTGGACAACAGCAGATGATTCTACTGCAGTGAGAGATATTGCGCATCTTATACTTTGATTAGAACGGATGGTGTTGGTGAAGGGTAGAGGAAGAGACTGAACTGAATGACCGAAGAAACGAAGAGGAACCCTATTCAAATAAAAGGAACGAATTCGCTACGAAAGTAAACATCGGAACGATCTTGATGATTGTCATCACGTGAAATTAAAGTTTGAGTGAGATATGTTATTATTTATGTGATAAGCCTGTGATATGCAAATGTCATCAGTAGATCTAAAAGTGCATTCGAATGCTTTGTTTTGATTGAATTGGTCACAATTTAGAAGATTATTTCTTGAATCTTTTTTAAATGCTGCATGTGAATTTTTGTGTTTGTTTGTTGATGTGTATGGCAAATATTTATGCTGAGAGAATAGTAGATGATCAGTACATGAACGGGTGATAGGTGGATATGTAGATGTAGGTTAAAGGATGCTAGCTGCATGGTATAAGTAGATAGAAGATAAGAATATTGATGATGAGGATTGGGATTGGATATGTTAATATAATATATTTGATGTATAGGATGTGGAAATACTGGATAGTCGTTTGGCGAATTCATTGATGACCGTTATCGGGTGTTTAGTTCAAGGTGCATGCATTCTTCTAATACCCGTCATTGTAACACCGCCAGTGGGCATCTTATTCGCCGCAATTTCTACCCTCTACTTATATTTATTGGTCTGCATCATCTTTATTATTTGTTTCTTGTCTTTTGCGCAATATCCAATCGGCTTATTGTGTTTATTATTCTCTGTAAGTGTAAATAATATGCAGCAAATTTCTGCTTTTACTGCTGATTAACCGTTTGTTGCTTATTAAAATTACTTGACGAAGTGAGCAGTTAATATTTTTGATTAGATGTTTTCATTTGGATTGCATTTATTGTTGCTTTGTTATTTTGGTACTCTTTCGTGCTAATTTCACGATCTTACAATTAGATCATTCTTTTTTTGTCGCTTTCCTTCTCTGTTTCGCATGCACAACTTATTATTACTGATGTTATCGTTTTCAGAATTATTTTTATTATCATTAGATATGATTTTATGTTATTGTTGTTGCATGCTCATGTTCAGTTGTCTTTTGTTCACAGTTGTGTTTAATCATTTTCGTTTAATTAATTGATTTGATTATGTTCACTTGAGTTTTTATTTGAGATAGACGGAAATGATTATTGTTGATGAGTGAAATATTGAAGCTGGTTTATTGCTGCATCTAAAATTTCAGCGTTTTTATGTATCAACATCACGTCAACTCAAAAGACTTGAATCAACAACACGCTCACCAATTTATTCACATTTTCAAGTGAGTTGTTGCGTTGAAATATTGAAACATTAAAATTGCACTTTTCAGTTTTTGTTTTCTTCAATTCCTCAAACAATTTTGTTTAAATAAATGCTTGTATTTGATATTAAACAGGAAGGCAGTTATAGTCGTTAGATTTCATCAATTAGTCGAGTTATTTTTGCCGTTATTATTTGATATTGTTTTTATGAATATGAAATCTAAGGAATCTGTGCAAGGAGCAGCGTGCATTCGTGCGTATCAGTGTATTGATAGATTCATAGGAGAATCTCAAAATCTTGTCGACAATAATCTTGTCACCTATTATCCATCCATTGTTGCAAATAGGTTTGTATATTACCGTGAATAAATCCTCTCCCCTTCTATCGTTTTTCAACAAAAATCTTTTCATTACAGTTATATGTAACCTTTTTCAGTCAGCTTCCCTCTATACATAAATGTATAATTTGTACGTTCAAAACCAGAGTTGAGTCGGTGAAACCTGTTGATCATGCGGTGTTTTCGGGAAACCGAATTCCGGTGACCACCGATCGACTCGCAAAATCTGCCGTATTCGTGGCCAACGAAAAAAGCTTTCGATACTCGGAGCAGTTATTGAAAAGCGAATATCTGTGTCACATGTACAGAGTGTTCCATGAGTAGGAATACGTAGTAGCGGCAAGATGTCCACAAGCAACTACTCATTTAAGAAATCTTATTAGCCATAATTTTCTCTGCCAATTTTGTCGTATTTTGCTCTATCCACACCCCATAGATGTCGTGAAATTTACCAAAAATGCATAATTTCTGAGGTTTTCTATGTGTGCAACAGATTCTAGACACGAGTCAATATAGTAGCATGAAAGGATAAACTAATATGAACAATTCAATGGGTAGTTGTTTGAACAGAAAGGCGCATTTGTTTGTGCGCACTGTGGGAACATATGTATATGTAAATATGATCGTTTCTTTCAGATGGTTAGCAGTACGACTTGAGTTAATCGGTAATTTGATTGTTTTATGTTCAGCGATATTTGCCGTCTTATATCGTGATTATGGCACTGTAACGGCTGGCTTAATTGGCTTATCTGTATCATATGCACTTAATGTGTGTTAATTTCATTTTCATTATTCATTCTTATATATTGACACCAAATTTTCTATATTGAAAGAGGTTGCACTTTCTGATGGAGTTTTTTTTGCGTAGATCATGGAAATGATATTCTCTTTCCATTTCGCAGTCATAATTTTTTTAGAAAAATCAATCTCGAACTTCAAATCCAATGCAAACGTAAATATTTATCGGGACATAAATATTTATCCGACATTTGCATATCACACAAGAAACGTTGATGAACTGTTTTTCTTATGAAACGGCTTCATTTTCATACGATTTCTAGAATAAAGTTTTAAAATATCTTTTTGATTTCAAACTGTTAAACAAGATGCATTTATAAGTGAATGTGTTTGTACTGGAACAGAAATTTCAAATTTTCATGACTGTGAAATGAAAAGTGATTGTTGTTGCAAAAAACTGTATCGGAAAGCGAAATCCGTTTCATCATAGCAACTCTTACTCAACAGTTTATTCTTACTTTAATTATTGTTATTGATTTTTAAAATATTATTTTTTTGACTGCTGTTAGACGTGTGATTTGTAGATAACACAAACACTTAATTGGGCTGTACGAATGACAAGTGATTTAGAAACGAATATTGTTGCGGTGGAAAGAATTAAAGAATACTCTGAGAGTCCAACAGAAGTATATTTTAGTTAATTTTTCATTACCTTATTCATTCAATATTTGGTAACTTTTTTAAAATGAAATAATATTCATCTGTTATGTTATCTGTTGCTATGTGCACCGTAAGTAAAGCAATATAAAAATATGGATAGTAATGATGATTTCTTGAAGGGTTCACCAAACGAATACCTTCTGAAGAAACCGATCCGTGAGTGGCCGCTGAAAGGCGAAATAAAATTTGAGAATTTGTTTTTGAAATATCGTGAAAATTTGGACTATGTTCTACGTGATTTGAATGCGTTTATCAAAGGTGGTGAAAAAATTGGTATCGTTGGCCGAACTGGCGCTGGTTAGTTGCGCTTATTATCACTGATGTTATTGTTTCTTGTATTGTTACTACTCTTTGTTATGATAAGTCATTGACTTGCGGGTTTTGTATTGATCGATTTTTTCGAAGGGTTCACCAAACGAATTGTCGTTATCATTATTATTGCGTTCTCGACTTACGATTGTACGATTGTGCCAAATATTTGATTTGATTGTCATCTTATCAGCGAGATTTATTATCCAATTGAAGGCAAAACTTCATTGACGTTAGCGTTATTTCGTATCGTAGAAGCAGAAAGTGGTAGAATTTTGATTGATGGTGAGGATATTTCGCAGTTGCCTTTGGAAGTATTGCGTTCTCGACTTACAATTGTACCACAGGTGATTATTATTGTTTTCATTATCATTATTATTATTATTATTATTATTATTATTATTGTGATTACATTTGCGAGTGTTC